CGACCCATTTCCTTTTTGCAAGGGAGCCATGAGGGTGGCGACTCCACAATCCGTTGCGTGGCCAAAGTCGTCACCTCTCAGCTGTAATGGTTGATTTTCTACATGTAAATCCATGCTGATTCACATTTNGATTTTCTACATGTAAATCCATGCTGATTCACATTTAGGTTTGGTTCTATTTCATTCCTCAACCTTCTGACCATCACATATTCAATCACCTTGGATATAACCGGTAGTAAACTGATTGGCCTATAAGATTTAGTCAAAGTTTTATCTGCATTCCTAGATTTTAATAGGGTTATGATCCTCGCCTGCTTCCATATTTCAGGGAATTGACCTTGACTTATGACCTCTTGTGTTAAAATAACCAACCATTCCTTTATTATATGCCAAGCTTTCCTTAACATTCCTGACGTGATTCCATCTTCTCCTGGTGCCTTCTTGGTGCCTATCCTCCATACAGCTTCCTTTATTACTTCTTCTTCAATAGTTATTATTTCTGTATCCAACTCGTTATCATGCTCCATGGGCAATCCCACATCTGTGCTAGGTATCATACTGTTAAGCATATATTCAACCGTCTCTTCAGCATCCTTCGTATAAGTGCCGTCGTTCTTCAGTATGGCCGTCACTACCATGCTATCTCGTGCACCCTTTTTTACCCATCTGTATGTCGCCCCCCATTTATCATCATTAATAGAAGTGGCAAAGTTCCTCCATGATTGTTGCTTCTTTGTTCTTAATACTCTGGTATAATTATTCCTTGTTCTATTGTACTCAACTCTATACAGCTGATTGTTTTCACCCCTATTTCTTTCCCATATTCTATGAGCTGTTCTAACCTTCTTTTTGAGTTCCTTAAGTTCCGAATCCCACCATGGAGGGGTAGGATTCCTACAGACTTTACTTCTTGGTATAGATTTATTTGCCGCCTGTTCTATAATCTCTTGTATAATATGAGCTTTACCATTGATGTCCATGTTTAAAAATGTTTCTTCATTCATCGCTTTCTTCTGTATGAGTGTGATTTCAAACATGTTCCAATTGGCTTTTCTGGTATCAAATCTCCTCACTGGTTTTATACTACTATGTGGTCTGTCAGTTACGTTGAATTTAATTAACCTGTGATCGCTACTAACTATGCCCTCTAACACTGTCCAATCCGTAACCCTATGTACCATTTCGTCAGTGGTTAGTGTAACGTCAATGTTGGTATACCCCCGTGCTCCTGCAAATGTACAAGGCTGCCCCGGAACATTGCATACATTTAAATTATTGGTATCCAGCCATTCTTCGATTAGTCTACCATTTTGNAATTATTGGTATCCAGCCATTCTTCGATTAGTCTACCATTTTTTTGCCTCGTCTGGTTATACCATCTGGCCGACCCAGCATTTACATCCGCTCCTATAATGTTTGAGCCATTGAGCGAATTTATCACCATGTCTAGAGCTCTGATATGGTTCTCTGTCGGTACATTAAATTTGAAGTATGCTGAGATAACATTAAGTGGAGGCTGCCTATCCCTACTAATAGTGGTAACAGCTATATCTGTGCTCATTAGGTTTTGCCTGGCCAACACCACAAGGTCCGAGTTTAGGACGAGTATTGCAGCTCCTATTCTTGTTGTCTGTCCATCGTCAGCAACACCCCCTGTCCATTTAATAACCCTGTACGGTGCGACTTCCAATGCGGTCAGTACTCCTCTTCTAGAATATGGTTCTTGTATTAATACAACGTCTAGATTTTGCTCCTGGCAGTATAGTATCAGATCTTCACTGGCCACCATTCCTCTTCCCAAGTTGATTTGCGCAAATTTAATAGTACTTATACTATTTACCTCATCCGAGAGAGGTAGATTAAGGTGATGGCTGTCGTCCAACATTATGTCATTATAACATCCTTAATTACTCCATAGTCAGTCTTTCTTAACGTATTCCTTAACCATTTCTCTCTTATCGGGCAATTTCGATAATTAGCCTCGTGCTCATTCCCGCAGTTGCTACATTTAACTATCGTTGCCACAAATTCTTTTATTTCGTGCTCCCCTGCACATTTCCTACACTCCTAACATCGTTCTCAAGTTTTATTTCCGGATTTTGTTCCTCCAGTTCTCTTATTATTTGTCCTGGTAATATATCTTTGTCAATTCCCATTATGATTATCTTAGGTCTTCTCGGTTGTGTTTCCATTATATCGTCTCTTTCCTTAGCTATTTCCTTTAATACCCTTTCGGTATCTTTACTTTTAGGTATCAGTATCATACCTCTATATTTTTTCTTCAGTATCACTTTCGGCATTTTCATTTTGCTTGTAACGACAGTCCATAGTTCCTTTTCCTTTTGTATATTCTGTTCATCTTCCCCGTTCGTATCGATCCTGAAGGTTGTCTCTGGGGTCCTCGCTCGACATTCTTCTCTAATCTGTTTAACCCTTTTTTTTTATCTACTTCTACTCCTCCCTCTAGTGTTATGTTCTGTTACATTTTTCTCTCCTGCCACAACACCCGCAAAAGTGGCTTTCGTTGGTGCTGGCATCCTTCTTAGTTTTTCTACAGCCTTTTCTAAATGCGCTATTTTTTCATCTTTCTTTACTATCTCTTCTTCCAGAATTCCCTTACTAGCTATTGCCATCAGTCTATCTGCTTTTGTTTCTATATATTTCTCAAGTAACGATTCGAATTGAATCCTGTTCTCAGAGATTCTCCCTAATAATTCCGACCTACCATTTAAGATATTAGTGATTGCATTGTTTAATTCATTGGCTTTGTTAGCCATGGCCCTTTTTTGCTCGGAATTAATAGTCTTCGCAATACCAATTTGCGCCACTGTTTCATTGAACCACGAGGCAATCATCCTGATGTCTCTTGAGATTTCAACCGCCTCATGTGTCATTTCAGGTGTAGCTAACCTTTTTTTCGTGACGTGTCCCGTCCTAGGGCTTATTGCTGCAGCTACCACGTTTCGACACTCATTTGCCAGTCCTGGGTCGTCTTCCATCCTTGTTCGACTTCGCTAGTGCGCTTGCGCGGAGCTCGGAAAAAAAAAAAAATGCACTCGCGCACTTCACCAACTCCACTGCGCGTGCGCAGTGTCGAATTAAACACAAAATCAATTTCGTTGTACGCATGCGCACACGAGAATTGACTTTCCCGCCTAAATTTGCTCAAAAATTTATGAAATTTGGTACACTAACTCAGGTAGTGTCCCTTGATCAATGCTCCAAATTTGGGACAGATCGGTCCGCAGGTTGCCGAAATCCCTTGGAAGGGATTCTAGTTGTGACGTACCTCTTAGAGGACCTAAAACCAAACTCCTTTCTGAAAACCGCAACTTTCTGAGCCCACTCTACGCCGAGT